CCAGGAGCAGCCTGGACTGGGTGGGGGAGAATCTGGCACCACAGAAGCCAGCCCAGCTGCTGCTCCGCGCTGCCATGCAACTTTACCAAGAAGTTCAGTGTGACACTCTACAATGTGTGGGCCTCACCACGGACCTTTTCTTAGTGAGCTCTTATAGAAAGTCGGTTCACAGGCCTATGGTGATTCCAAACAAGTCTGCAGTGCTTTGTGTTTTCCTTTGACCTTGGCCTCCCTCCTCCTCCCCCCAGCACTTGGCTTTGCAGCGGATCACGCACTACATGGGTCCTCCCACGATATTCTTCACTCTGATGCCTGGGGAAAACTTTTATTCTCTATTCATTTGAGGAGAGGTACCATGGGTTCAGTTCCAGTGCACAAACCCCATCCTCTAGGAAATGGAGGGACTTCTCCCAGGGAAGTTCAGGCGTGCCATTCCTACAGCACGGTGGCTGGTGCCTCCGGTAGTTGTAGAAGATGGAGACCTGCTTCCTCTCTCCCCAAGGGGAAGCAGCCACTCAGCTTTGGGAGGAGACAGAGAAGGCGCCCATTTATATTACTTTTCACTCACTGTCGATGACATCCTTCCAGGGAAAGATGGCTTGGTTCCTTCCTTACTGTCTTTGCCTACTATGGGACTCGGTGTTCCTACTTCAAACACTGTCTTCTTCCATAGCAAGGTGGGAGGAGGAAGAAGAGAGAAAGGAAGGTTTTCTTCCCATGCAGATGATGCCTGATTAGTTTTTTTTGGGGGGGAGGACTCTGACAAATGGGGAGGAGGGAAGGGAGTCAGGGATGCCGTTCTCAAGTGAGCCACCCAGAGTTCTATATTGACAGTGGTCTCATTTGTCAACTTGTTTTCTTACATTCAAAGTAATGTGGTGAGGTGTGGGAGAGGTTTGTTTTTAGTAAACTTCCCTTTGTAAATGCTAGGCCTATTTTGTCTAAGCCAAAGAAGTAAAAAAAAAAATTAAAATTAAAAAAAATCACTGGGCACTGGTAACTCACTCCTGCAATCCTAGCTATTCAGGAGGCTGAGAGCTGAGGTTTCTGGTTTTAAAACCAGCCTAGGTAGAAAAGTCTAAGACTTTTTTTTTTGTCGGTCGTGGGACTTGAACTCTGGGCCTGGGTGTTGTCCCTCAGCGCTTCAGCTCAAGGCAAGTGCTCTACCACTTCAGCCACAGTGGCACTTCTGGCTTTTTCTGTTTATGTGGTGCTGAGGAATCAAACCCAGGGCCTCATGCATGGGAGGCAAGCACTCTACCACTGAGCCACCTTCCCAGCCCCTAATATTTGTCTTTCTTGACTGGGCACCTGCATCCTGGTGCTTGGGGTCTTTGATGGCAGACTGCAGGGGTGCGGGGAGGAAGGAATCTCAGTGAGAAAGAGTTGTGATGATAGCTTCCTTTTCTTCAGCAACATTTATTTACACCCCATCTCGACTGTAGCCCCAACCCACACTGCCGTCATGGCCCCCAAACTACCTACCCTCACCTCCTCTGGCTCCCTCCACCCACTTATCCCTCAGAATTAAAAAAACAAATGCCATGTACTTGCTATCTGGTAGCTCAAGGACGGTGTGGAAGAGGGGTCCCATGGGAGGGACAATCTCAGGCAAACTGTTCTCTCTCCTTTCCTTCCGAGCGGGGTGGTTTGTAGCCAGGTTGCGGGCCTGAGCCTCCTCCAGGCTCACCAACTTCATGGGTGATAATGCTGGCAGGGTCAGGCTCTTCATGATGGGCCGGTCATCTGTAAAGGAAGCAGAAGGGCTCAGTCTGGACAAAGCTAGCACAGTAGGTTCATCCAGATCTCTCATCCACAGCCCTGCCATCCTGACCTCTTTACAGCATTCTCTCTTCTTATCTTCAAGCGTTTTTTCGCCTATTTCCTTTCCACAGGAAAGGATGCTTGGTCATGTCTGGAGACCTTTTTGTTTGTCATAAATACATGTGGGAAAACTACTGGTATCTTCGTAGGTGAAGGCCAAGGAAGCTGCTAGACACTACAGAGTACATAGAAACTACGTCCGCTCTCCCCTCCAAGTATTATCTAGCAATAATGCCTCAGTGGAGAAATCCTGATCTAAAAAAACAAGAAGTCTAAGTTGTATTCTATTTAGTCTCTGGTGGTATTGCCAATTTCTGCTAGCTTCTGAAGGCACAAAGAGACTGACATTAACTCAGACGGATGGAGACTACAGATGGCATGTGGTGTAGGACTCTCCTGTGCTCAGACGTGGCTGGTTGGCACCTCTCTGGGTAGAAGGAATCGCAGTCACAGTAAAAAGCCTTGTAGATAGACAACTGAGACGGCATGCGATGGAGGTGCTTTCAGGGCAGAGAAGCCTGGCTGCTATTCTGCCGAATTGCAGTTAAATATACCCTGCCTATGTCCTTTGCTCCTGAACATGTTTCAATTAAGTTTCTGAATTAAACCCCGTTTTCCAACTTAACCCAAATGAAGTTAAGACTGTTGGAATTTACTTTCAATATTGTGAGATTCTAGATGATTTATTATTTGTTTCTGAAATGCTTCAAGTCACTATGGAGTAATAGGGAAGAATCGACGAAGGGCCAGGAGGCTGAGGTGTAGTATCAACATCTACCTCAGGCTCCAGAGGAAGCCTGGACCCAAGGCCCACTTGTCTTTGCTTAAATGAATAACACAAATTGCTAAGACAGATATTGTGATCTCTGTTCTCCACACTGGCACTTCCCCTCTCACTTTCCTACTATAAGCAGTCATGGTCCAACACCTTACTCATCTGCTTCTTCCATGTGTCCCTTCTCAAGATACAGCCCACAGCAAATTTTACGACTCTCCCTTCAATGTATATTGTGGACGCATCCACTTTCTTCCCTTCGGCTAACATACTAGTACACTCATGTATTTCCCACTTGATTTCTGCAGTGGTTCCTTAATATATGGCTGGCCCAGTTTCCAGGCTGCCTTTCAGCTTTTCAGATCTACACCCTCATGCTCAGATTTTGCACTGGCCTATGCACGTGGCCTGAGATCTCCCTCTGCTTTCCTTCTCCTCTTTGCCTCTGGCCAGCAGTCTAACGAAAAATATACAGTGAAAGCTTTTGTCTAGGCACTAGGGATTTACATCTCTAACTCGGGAGGATGAAATATGAGGATCACAGTTCAAAACCAGATCAGATCCCATAGGATCCAAGAGACTCTTATTTCCAGCAAAAAGCTAGAAGTGGAGGTATGGCTCATGTAGCAAAGCACTAGCCACCCAAATACTAGGGGAAAAAAGCTTTTGAATGAATACTCCCTTTATATATATGTATGCATGTATAAATCATGCATATAGTACACAGTATAGAATAGAAAATGAATATAAAATATTATAAAGTATAAGTACAAAATGAATGTTTCAAAACTCATAGTTTGGTACTCACCAGGGTAGAATACCCCTGTACTGGAGACTACAAAAGCTCTTGCCACCCTGGCTTACTTTCTACAATACTCAGAGCATCTTCACCTCAGAACATTCTACTCCACGTCCTCTTTGTTTGAAGCACCCTCCCCCTCCCACTGCTATGGCTTCACATGACTGGTTCTCTGTGTTAGTCCAATAATCACCTCCTTAGAGACCATGATCCACTCTGTCCCAAAATAACACCTTAAAGTCACTGGTGCTGGGCATCAGTGGCTCATGCCTGTAATCCTAGCTACTCAGGAGGCTGAGATTTACAGATTGCGGTTCAGAGCCAACCTGGGCAGGAACATCCGTGAGACTCTTATCTCCAATTAACCATCAAAAAACCAGAAGTGGCATTGTGGCTCAAATGGTAGACGCTCACCTTATTAACCCTGCTATATTTCTTAGTATGTATTGTCTTTGAAGTGATATTTGTTAAGGTACATTGCTGGCCTTCCCAATTAGACAATGGCTATAATTACGCAAGGCAGGGTCTTGGTCATTTGTGTTCCAGTGTCTAGGACTGCACTTGACATAAAGGAGGCATGCAGAATGTACTTATTTTAAAAAATAAATCTTGGCGATATCATAGACTCTCTGTCCGCAAATACAAACACTGGATTTTTATAAGACTCCTACAAAATTGGAGTTTGTACATACAATCTTTTGCTGTCCTAGATTTCTGTTAGATGAGGTGTGTTTATTACTCTGGGAGAAACACACCTTTCGTGGTATATTTTCCGTTGGTGGCGCTATGCTGTTTACATGCTATCCTTACCTCATGACCCATTAAGTTGGTATTAAAGACTGAAGAAGTAGAACAAGAAAGGAACTAAAATTTATATACCTATAAATTTCAGTACATACCTTATGCATATTAAAGCAGAGGCTGGGCCCTGAGGATTGAGATTTTGTGTCTACGTTCTCTCAGTTAAGCCATCTACATTGGTTGCTAAGTGAAATGGGTTATTCAGATGAGTATACTGATTTCCCCAACTCTTTTAGCTGAACTAGAAAAGAAACAACTAGCAAGCATCTTGAAGCTACAGTGCTCATACACTGCTGGTTCTCCAGGTGTGGACACTGACCAGCGACATCAGCATTACCAGATGCACAAATATTACCAACATACCAGACCACTGTATTCCTGGCCAACTGGATCAGAAACTCTGGGGATGAGGTTAGTTAATGTGTGTTTTCACAAGATGCACTCCAGTGTTGGAAAACTACTCTCTCACACAAATGTCACTTGCAGGAATCTTGATCAACTTGATTTCTGGATTCTTCAACTAGGCTCACAGGAGTTCAAGTAACATTATCCACTCACTCCCAGAGTTTCTCATGTCATCATGAGGAGCCCCAAACACACAAACATAATCATTTTTTGTATGTTTACTGATTGGTACCAGGCAGCACCAAGTTAGCATTCAGGAAACACTCATGAAGAGAATGCATTCTGGGTATTTATGAGAGGGTGACCATACTACCTTATACTACCTCATTTCATTTAAAACTCTGAAATATTATTTGTGCAAGGAAAAATGATATCTAATCAATACAGATCAAAATGTTGCCAATATCTTTGCAAAATAACTCCAGAGAGGAAGGACTCATAAAACCTAATGGAACATTATGTCAACTCTACTTATACATCCTATCAAACTCATGGGATAGGCCATGTACGTACACAACATACACATCATCAGCGGTAGAACCAAGCTCACCCTAGCTTATTTTTGGGACCAGAGCAATAGAGAAGAAGAGGTATGTGCCAGGAAGAGTCATTACCGTTGTTTTCCAGAGGCCCTGGAGCACCGTTGTTAAAGATTTGATCCACATGGTTCAGTATGAATTCAATCACCACCTGCTGGACCCGGACTGCTAGGAAGGCTGCATCTCCACTGCACCCACTGGCTTCGATTTCTTTAGACCTGACACGGAAGAAACATTTTCAGAGTGAATCTGCCTTACAAGCAGAAGCCGTAACAGAGACCAATGGTAGACATGCTAAATTCATTAGTTAATTTGTAGATTATTTTAACTCCCTATGAAAACTAAAGGGTCTCCTGAAAGTGTGAAGCTCAGCCGACTGAACAAATTAGAAGAGTTTCCAGGCAGTATGTACTGCAAGTCTGTAAGTAGAGACCCCAGAAAAGACTTCTTTTTTCTTCATAGGATTTCCTTCCAACCCCCACCCTCCCACCCTCTACCACCCCAGCCCACTGTCCTGTGGGGCAGGTCATCATTTATAAAGTCACATGAAGCAGCTGATTCAAGTTATAGCCAGCTGTGACCCCATCAAAGCCAAGAAAAGCCAATAAGTCCCAAAGACAAGAAAGGCCTTTTCAGAAAAATGAGAGCATACAGACCCATAACTTTTATAGCTGACAAATGCCTTTGGAACCCAGAGTTTCCAAGTAGGCCAGCAAAGAACTTAGGTTGCTCAGATTACCTTGAAATTGTAAGTGCTATAAAAGATCATTTAGCTCCAACTTTGTCTTCAAGGGTTTCAACTTTGGAATACCTGTACTCTATGTTTCTATTGGTGGGCAGCTCTGACCCTGCAGGTGGTGAAAGGTGTTACCTGAGGAGGTTTGGAGCCCACACCAAGGCCAGGTTCCTGGCATGCATGTTGGTCCTGCTGCTGAAGGAGGCGATGTGGGTCAGGTGTCGAATCAAGTATTCCAAGGTCCTGCAATGGTTTATAGTATTATTGTTTTTTAATTTTTCGACAAAGTAAGAAACTGTAGTGGCTGTGTGTGGCCTGACGTCTAGTGACCTATTTCTAAGTTTGGATTTAAGGGACTGTTTATATGGTACACATTTTGAAGGAATAATGTCAAGAAATCAAGACTAATGAATGCAATTTCCTTAGCCCTAGGCCCACTGGCCTGGGGTGGGGACAGGGCTGAACTTCTATCCCCAGCACCAGCCAGAGACTGAACCCAGGAATCCCAGGCCTCAGAAGCTGGGGGTTCTTAGTCATCATTTGCTCCTCGTTTTACACAAAACTGAATTATCTCTCCACAGTTTAGTTCACATCTAGGTTCTTACAAAGGTTCCTGAGATATATTAGAAGACCAAAGACTAAAAAAGGGGAGAGAAATAGGAATAATGAAATAATGTTCAATCTCTACTGTATACATTGACAAAATAAAATTCCCTTGTGTTATATTAATCTATAATTAATTCGTGTGTAATGAATTCAAATGTGTAACTAATGAAAAATAACACAAAAATCCAAAAATGTTTTCCTAGTTGCAAATAACTTGATGCTCATTTCATGGGCAAACATTAGTCGGGCTGGGAAGGTGGCTCAGTGGTAGAGTGCTTGCCTTGCATGCCTAAGGCCCTGGGTTCGATTCCTCAGCACCACATAAGCAAAAAGAAAAAGCCGGAAGTGGTGCTGTGGCTCAAGTGGTAGAGTGCTAGTCTTGAGCTGAGGAGCTGAGGGACAGCGCCCAGGCCCAGAGTACAGGCCCTACGACTGGACCCAAAAAACAAAAACAAAAACATTAGTGACTGCTCTGTCTTTCTTCTACCCTATCACCACCTGCCTCTTTTTAAAAGGTGAGGAGGGGCAGGGATCACTGGGGAAGATGGTAACACACTAGAGACGGCTGAGGACTGGTCACTAAAGAGTAAGTAGAGACATCTTTCAGCCAAGTGCTCAGAAGCCACACTCAGCTATCTGTGAAGGTCATCTAGGTTTCTACAGATTTAGTTATGCTAGAATTCTATGTAAGAACCAAGGATGTCACTGTGAGGCTAGCTTGTATGATCGGGATGACTTCCTGATTTATTCTGGTAATTCCTTTCCAAGTGACGTGGAGACAGATTACCCTTTTCTGCCAGTACTCCTGGTTAAGGCACCAAATCACTCCCACAACAGTGACCTGTTAACTGGGAAATGCCACTATCCACTGAATCTGCTTCCTTTACCGTGTCTCCTTCCTCCTTGACATCATATCATACCGAGAGCCTTACCTATAATGGGATGGAGGAAGCTTCTGGATAACATTTTGGATTCGGGCAAGTTGGCCTTCTTCTTGGCAATGTGACACTGCCTCCTGTGGAGAAGAGCATGAAGCATCCTAGTAAGTGCCTGGGAGCTAAGACACCCACCTGTGAGTGCTGGTCTTATGTGAGCCCTTGGTACTCCAGCCTCACAAACTCCAGCCTAGAGATCACCCTTGCAGGTGGCAAGTTCTTCCCTGAATACAGTCAACCAACTACAATTTGTTTGGACTGGTTATGTGAAAAATCCCAGTGTGTGCTCACAAGGAGAGGCGGGCTGCTTGAGTCTCTAGGAGAAGAAAGCACGTTAGCATCTGGGTGTGGCCTGCATGGTAGAAAGTGGCAGAGCCTCACATTTGGAGAGGTCAGAGACAGGGACAAAGTTCCATGGAGCTGTACCTGTGAACAGCCATGAGTGGCTATTCAGCCAGCTCGCCAGGTGGGTATGACCAGCCATTCCCTACCTAGCAGTGACTCTTCTGTAACCTCAAGTTCTCCTCTACTGTCTGTCCTGGACGCCAAGAGGCAAAGAAGAGATACATGCTTTCCTTGGCAGGGATAAGAGCTTTCTCCCTGAGACCCCGTGGCCTTACAACAAAACTTGCTCTCTGGGGCCGGAAAGGTGGCTCAGTGGTAGAGCGCTTGCTTTGCATGCATGAAGCCCTGGGTTTGATTCCTCAGCCCCACATAAGCAGAAAAACCTGGAAGTGGCGTTGTGGTTCAAGAGGTAGAGCGCTAGCCTTGCACAGAAGAGCTGAGGGACAGCGCCCAGGCCCAGAGTGTAGGCCCCACGACTGACCAAAACAAAAGACAAAAAAAACTTGCTCTCTGGTTATTTCCTGTATGTGTATTTTGTTCCCACATCATCCCAGGCCTCCTGGGGGGCGGTAGGGGAGGAAGGCAGTATGATGACAGGTTGGCTGACATTTATCTCGCACCTGCTTTAGGTTGCTGCACAGCACGGGCATTCTTGGGAAGGTTCTCGAGCCATGTGACTATCCTGAGAGTCTGTCCTGCTTGTGGCCTGGGTCTCAGGTCTCTCTAGGGCAATGCCAACAGGAACACACCACTGGAGTCCAAGGCAATGGTAATGACACCCATTTTGGACTTGTTTTTGAGACAGGGTCTCCCTGTGTAGGTATCCCATGCTGGCTTGGAGCTGTGACCCTCCTGCCTGGTCCCTCTGTGTGCTGGGGTTAACAGGCATGTACCATCACATCCAGCACATCATTTTTCTTTAATTGGTATAATTTACATATGTTAGTAATATCATTTACACAATTAGTAATAGATAGATTAGAAATGTGCAATGTTTAAGTTAAGATCTATGAGTGGTTTTCATAGATACATACTTGGATAGTCCCAGCTAGACTGAGATATACTTTAATAGGAGCTCCTGAACTCACATTTTTCTGGTCTTGAGTTCACAGGTATTTGTGACCGACAGTCTTATATTTTCCTCCTGGTGCTGCAAGCTTCCTTTATAGTTGTATGCAATGCCAGGAATAATCATCAAATATATTCTTTTGTGTGTGCTGGTACTAGGGCTTGAATTCAAGGACTCACATTCTCACTTGGCATTTTCTTCCCTTAAGGCTGGTGTACTAACCACTTGAGTCATGCCTCCACTTCCAGATTTTTTTCTAGTTAAATGAGCTTTGACCTGGCTAGCTTCAAATCTCAATTCTCAGACTGTAGACTTTTGAATAGCTAGGATTACAAGCATGACTAGTGCCTAGTTCAAATACCTGCTTTAATTTGGTAAGTACTACAAACTACAATACAAGCAAAGATGAGAGTCTAATGTATGTGTTTTGTATATTGTTCACCTTTATTTGATCCTATCATTTTCTGGCTTGTGTTTAAATGCTAAAGTTCACTCTGAGTTTTGGTGCATTAATTATTCATGAATGTAGACAGGCAAACAATTATAGTCAGCATCTGCTGTTTTCCAGGTCCCATTCTCCTGACAGGAAAAGTCCAGGGATTGGCCCAGCCTGGATCTTCTGTCCCTTTCCCCACCCTCTGTTACTGATGGCTTCTCCTTTCTTAAAATGGAAGCTCTGTAAGCTAAGAGATGTAATGAGTCCATGTTTAAAACAGTGCCTGGCTTCCAAAAGTTGCCCTTTACCTGAAGCATCATGTCAGGGCTTTGTCTATCAAGGTTTTGTGTTGTTTTCTTCCTGAGATTGGGCTTTGTTGTCTAACCCTTGAACTTCTGTCTCAACCTCCAGAAAGCAGGAATCATGAGAATATGCCACCATCTTCTGACCCCTTTTACTTTTTATGCCTATCCTAACTCTTAAACTCAGAACTAAATCTGCCTGGGGTGCACCTGGAAGAGAGAGATCTTCCAGGCCTGTGATGGACCACAGTTGGGGTGCTGTCCAAGTAATGGAATCTGAGCTTCCAGGGAAGAGTAGCTTTGGGGAAAACAACAACCCAGAGCAAGGCCTTGCCATCAAGGTGAAGGTTTAGTAGGTAACGGCTCACCTCTGAAATTCTAGCTACTCAGGAGGCTGAGATCTGAGGATCTTTTTTGTTGTTGTTGTTGTTTGTGGAACTTGAACTCAGGGTCTGGATTCTGCCCTTGAACCTCTTTGTGCTCAAGGCTAGTGCTCTACCACTTGAACCACAGTACCACTTCCTGAGGATCAAGTTTGGAAGCCACACCAGGCAGACGAATCTGTGAGATTCTTGTTTCCAATTCGCCATCAAAAAGCTGGCTTCACTGATACCAAGAAAGGATGCAGTACAAATAATCACAGATTCATCCTAGCTCTTTTAAGATTTGAACGTCAGCCAGATTGGCCCAGTTTAGTGTTGAGTGAAACTCTCTTCCAGCCAGAAAATAAGGGTGGGGAAATTTTCACCTTCCCTCCTGTACTTGTCTAACATAAGATCTCCTATCCCAGTGGGAGAACACGAAGCTAAAAATAACTTTGCAGTGACTAGACCCCTCCAGAAGGAAAAAAAAATAAGAATTAGGCTCTAAAGAGCTGTTAATGGGATAAGATGGGGGTTGGATGGAGAGAGCTTGAGAAGAAATACATGAAATAAACCAATCCCAACTGGGACCTGCCGGCCTCAGAGGATGGGCCTGCCCTTGCACTTTCAGAAAACAAAGATATTAACAGCTTCCTAAAGTATTAAAGGAACTTTCCATGAGAACTACACCTTTATTCCCCAAACACATTTAAAAAAAACAACCCGGGGAGTGGAGCAAAGATTTGTGCAGCTTGATCCTGGCTAGGCAGTGAGAAGAGATCTCAGAGCCTCCTTCTGGGCTTTATTGGCCGCCTCCTGCTTCCTGACCCCTCCCTATCCCAGAGTCTCAGCCTGGCTTCCCTTTACTGGGGCTCTCCTTGCCTGGCTGAGGCCCAGAGGTACTCCACAGCCCTGTTTTCTGAATATGGGCTCTGAGGAAGAGAAGGCAGGTGTCTAGGTGTTCCTAGAAGGCCGTGGCCTGACCCTCCTCATCCGTGTGTCTCACAAAGGCTGTAGGACAACAGCAAGAGTCCCTTGCTTCCTAGCAAACCCTCCAGAAGATTGGGACACCCCTGACTATAACACCCACATTGTTCCCCCATTCTGCTGAGGGAAAGCAACCTCAAGCTCTCCCTATGGCAAATTGTGCTGCCTTTTATTAAAGTAGCCAGCTTCAGCAGGGTGCTAGTGGCTCATGCTTACAGTCCTAGCTACTCAGGGAGGCTGAGATCTGAGGGTTGCTGTTCCAAGCCAGCGCAGGCAGGAAAGTCTATGAGAGTCACATTTCAAATTAACTACCAAAAAGCTAGCTGTGGCTCAAGGATAGAGGGCTAGCATTGAACACTGAAGCTCAGAGACAGCACCCAGGCACTGAATTCAAGCTCCAGGATCAGCCAAAAAAACAAGCCAGCAAACAAACAAAAAACACAGGAGGCTAAGATCTGAGGATCACAGTTCTAGCCAACTCAGGCAGGAAAGTCCATGAGACTCTTATCTCCAATACACTACTCAGAAAAAGCTGGAAGTGGTGCTGTGGCTCAAGTGGTACAGCACAAGCCTTAAGCACAAAATGGCTCAGTGACAGCACTAGGCTCTGAGTTCAAGCCCCAGGACTAGCAAAAAATAAAAATAAAATAAAATAAAAAAGGTGGGGGTGGGGAGAGGAGGGAAGGAGCTGGGCATCAGTGGCCGTAACTGTCATCCTAGCTACTCCGAAGGCTGAAATCTGAGGATTGAGATTAGAAGCCCGCTGGGGCAGGAAAAGTCTATGAGACCCTTATTTCCAATAACCTAAAAAAAAAGCCAGAAGTAGAACTGTCATGTAAGCGACAGAACATTAATCTTACTTAAAAATCATAAAAACATTTTACACAATTTACACAAAAATTTGTGCACATAATTTTTTTTAAAAAAGAAGCAATTCATAAAATAAAATACACAGACAAAAGTCAGTTTTATACACATTCCCTTTTCTACCTGAAGAAACGAGCACCAGAACTGACAGGGTTGTCTGTGAATTCCTCTGCCCCTCCTCCCAATGTAGCCCCTGGCTTGCTCTGTACTAGCCACACTGGCTTTCCTCCAGCTCAGCACACACACTCCAACAGGGCCTTGGCATCTGCTGTTTCTTCCCGTCACCCTCTTTACCTAGATAGGATCACAGTTGGTTCCCACACTTTACCCTTGCCTGTTTAAATGCTGCTTCATAGAGCTGCCTCTGATTATCCTACCTAAAATAGCAATCTCTCTCCAGCACTGGGAGAGAGGACTTATCAACAGTTCTCACTAGAGATCTACGGTCTCTCTCTCCTCACTGAAATGCAAGACACACTAACGCAAGGATGGTATCTATTATTGCTTATTATGAAATCTGCCGTCTGTGGAGCTATGCCTGCCAAGGGCACGTATAGGTGCTTTCCTACTCCCATCTCCCTTACTAAACACATTTGTTGAGTAAGTGAATGAGTCAATGAATAAGTGAATGAGTCAATATCTTGCTTTATGCTTGACCAGGTACATTCTCGACATGCTTCTAGGACAATTCTCTGCCCAAGATGATTTCCCA